CTTCTGCCGAGCCACCTCCGCGGTCCCGAAGCCATGGTCCTGAAGCCATGCCTGCTGCTTGGCGCGGTCCCGAAGCCACTCGCCGCCGCCCACCGTGTGCTGCTGCTGCTGCTGAAGCCACGTGCTGCTGCCGCCGCCGCTTTTGCTGTTTGCTTTGGGGGGGCGACCTGTGCTTGGAGTGCTCACCAGCCTGAGGTCCCCGGCTGCAGCCCGAGCCCCGGCTCTCGCCTGGTTCCGCTTCGCTCCAGCCAGACCCGGCTTGACCCAGCTCGTCCTATCATCGCCGCAGCGTGGTGAGACGAATTCCTGCCACCCCAGGTTACAGGGGAAAGCATAATCCTGTCTTACTTGCACACAAATCGTGACCCTATACGGGACCAGCGTTGGGCATATCCCTCCTCCTCCTTCCCTCATTAAATAAGTAAATAAGGTGTGTAACTAAGGTGTACCCATATATAAGTATTAAGACATAAGTTCTTGTTATTTTGATGCTTAAAAGATATTTCATGTGCTTTAATTACCCTTTTTGAACCTCCTGCCCCCAAATTGCTTTGTTTTCCCCACAATAAACCATGCATTTTGTAAATTCTAATTGGGGATTGGCTGCTGTTATTGGAAATATTAGTAAGCACTGAGCAAGTTACTCACTCGAAAAGCCAGGGCCAAAGCCCCTGCTCCTCTGTGAGAGGCGATACCCACGTGTGGACCTCTTCAGCAGATCCTGACAAGCTACATGCACTCCAAAAAGGAGATATAATAGGTCGCGGATTGCGACAGACCCCACTTTTGGGACAACACCAGGAGGTTCAGGTCTGTCACAGGGAAGCAAGGCCTGCACCAGGGAGACATGGCCTGAACTCAGAGGAGCTTGACCCTGTCACTGGTGCCCTCAGAGGGCACCAGTGGGGGGGGGTCCTGCACTGCCCTCCAGGACCTGGGTCAGCTCTGGGTGCTCAGGCTTGGGCAAGGTGTGCTGGCTGTCCCTGAGGATCCCTAGCTGCCTGTTGCCCCGCTACAGGCTTGCTTCAGTACAGGGGGCATCTGGCACTGTTCCCAGGCCCCTTTGCAGGATCATGAGGGGAAGCATATGGGTGGGAAGATGGAGAAAATTCAAAGCTTTGCTCAACTGTGAAAGATAGTCTCACATCTTTGGGGCAGAGCATCACCTGGGAACAGCACCCAGGATCTCAAGAAGTTTCCTTAGGTGGTGTCCTGACCTAAGGGAGTAGGCTTCCTGACAGACCTGCTGCCCCAAGGGAAAAACCAAAGCAGTGCTTCCTGGCAGGGAACTCAGTTTTTATGGACTGAGATCTGACCTGTGGTCATTCACTTGTTATTCTACCTGGACCAAGACACCCCATTGGCTGGGGACCCTGTTTGTTGACAGAGAGTTCCACCCTGGCAATCCCCAAATTGCCTGTGAAAACTAGGTGCCACCCTATCTGTGGATGGTGCTGTAGCCCAGCAGGAGGTAAGACCAGAAATCAGTCTCAGCCACCCAGTCTGACCCAACAATGGTGGGCAAATCAGGGATTCTTTTGCCAGCTCCAGAGAGCTTAACAGATACTATAACAACCCCCAGCACCAGCAGCAGGAGGGGTGGGGTATGAGTGCTCTGCCACAGGGAGGGCAAGAAGTCAGCAGCACCTGGGAAGGAAAGAGATGCAATCTCATCACCCTCATTTCCTGAGCTGAGAGGTGCAGCAAATAAAGGAAAACATATCAAAAGCTATCCCTGCCGGCTGCTCGCTGGGATGATGGTCCAGCTCATCAAGGGGTCAGCATGAATTATGGTTCCTGGCAGCATGAGGCTGTGCTTTTAGAGGGATATTTGCCAGGAAGTGTTGGACAGCAGGGTTCGGCACACATTATGGAGGCGCTGGAAGCAGAGGGCAGGACTAGATCATTACTTTGGGCATCCCCAGGAAATCCAGGCTTTTTTAGTGACAGCAATGAGACACATCCTGCCACTCTTCTCTTTGTGTTGGAGAAAACACAGCAAGCCAGGAGGGAATTTCCTGGATGCTTTGGGAATTGGTTGCCTACTGCATTAATATTTGCTAGTTTATACAGTTATCCCTCAGGCAGGTGTTCAGTGACTGGTGTAAGAGTCAATCAGAAGATCAGTATTGTCTCAACATTGTCATCAATGTCTAGACCCCAACATCTGGACTAATATCTCAACATGAATTTGCAGTGGCTTGCTGAACTGGCTTGCAGATGCAGAAACCATGGAGAACGGACTGAGGTATGAACAGTGCCAGTACCTTGTATAGGTCTATTCTACTGGAGCAGCAAAGCGAGGAACTGCTGTCGAGGAAGATGGATCGCTTTGCTGTGCCAACACCAATAAAGCCTCAGTTGAACTTTCCTCATTATAATGTTATTATAATACAAAAACACACCTCCTGGTAAGCAGCTACTCACCTCCAAAGCTGGCCACGCCTCAGACACTCCTCTCTGGGCATGCGTGGAAGCCTCACTCCAGACAGGTGGAGACTGGCACATTTCCACGGGACAGAAGTGGAGTGGAGGTGGGTCCGAGGAGGAGCAAGGCGTGCTACCCAGAATAAACGATGGTTCTTAAGTAACCGAATTTTGAAGATCTTCCCCACCGAGAGATCATGATGATCGAAGAAGCAGCGGAACACCTTCTGGATTCGGGACGATAGGAACGCCTTTGGACCCATGGTGGTAGCTATTGTCCTCTTTCCCCCCCATTTTTACCTCATCTTTCCTATTTTTCTTCCTTTCTGTCGCATGCTGCTTTACGGGCAAGACCAATAAAGTCATTGCGTGTTGATAACTTAACTCCCTGGGCTTGTTGCCATTTCATTTTTGCACTTCAGGATCACAGCTGAAACAAACTATCACACGTCCATGGAGGAGTGGACCGTGACAACTGGTAATAGAAAATACAACTAGTATGTGAGGTAAGCAGCTTACTGCGGACCTGGAGAAGACCCTGATAATTTAACTGTGTATGCATGTGTGGTCACATGCCTGTATGCGTGTTCAGATGGCATTATGAACATGAACCATGAGGCAGACTCCATGAAGAGATCAAAGACCTTGTGGGTTCCCAAGTGTTATTAGGCAAGTAACATGTTGGCTGTGGAAGGGGACATGCCAATGATATATCTTTATCACTGTGCGCTTGGAGAGGATGGTCAGTTTGAACTGAGTTTGAGACATGAAGGTTTTCTGTGCATCTCAAGGAGGTGATAAGAGATGTGGGAACGTAGCCCAAACTGTGCATGTTATTGCTCCCAGCCCCCCACAGCCACAGAGGACATCCTTATGCTGGCTATACCTGCCCTGGACCTAAGACCCTGCAGAGTGTCCTTGTGCAAACTGGGCAGGGAGACCCCCACCATGTCTCCCAGTGCCTGTGCCTGCTGACAAGGACCAAGCACACCTATCCATCTTGTCAAACTGCTTTAATATTTGGACACGAAGACAGGACAGAGCCAGTCAGGCTGTGTACAGACAAGACACCCCTGAGCCATGGTGTAAGGCTGTAGAGCTTCCCTTCTCAGTGGATGTGTGGATTTGGCCAAGACATAGTTCAACTGATGATATCCTGAGTATGCCAATGGGGTGCATGTGCAGGGTAGGGGAGAGAGATGGGAGCTCCCCAGGGCAGTTCAGAGGTTGTTCAACTCCAACAAGGTCTGGTCCAGGACCTGGTGGATGTCCACATTCTCTTCTTTGGCACTGGCCAGACTCTCTGTGAACAGAAGGGACATGTGGCCAGCCACACACATGGACACAGACATAGCCCAAGAATGCACAGCCGGACCCACGCACACCCACACCAAGCACAGACACACGCACACATACAGATGTTTCAGTACAGTGCCAGCCTCCATCTGCATGGGGTGTCCCCATGGAGTAGAGTCTGTGCAAACAGCCCAACTACTGGCAAGAATGAGTCTAGCCACTTTGAGATCTGCCAGAGCAGCCAGGCCAGCTGGGCCAGTTGCTTGGAGCAGGCAGTTCCCACTCTTTAGCATTTCCTCCCATTGCCCACAGCCAGGCCCTCCACAGCATGGATATCTCTGATGGGTAGCCCTCCCTGGCCAGCCACCAGCACAGCCCAGTCTCCCTGCTCTGCCTACAGAACATCATGACCTGGGTCATCACCACTGTCCAGCTGTGGGCTCACACACAAACCCTTGGCTAGCAAAAGAGAAGAGCCAGTGCCTGCTGCATGACCCAGTGGTGCTCGGTGAAGGAGAGTGAGACAGCAACCTAGGAAGGCAGGCAGAAAGGACAGCAGAGAGAGAAGCAGAGATAACAAAGCTCCAGGGATGAGCTCTGCCGGGCAGCCCACTGCCAAGGCAGCCTCGTTCAAAGTGCTTGCTTCCAAACAACATCCTCCTGCCCACCCAGCCACATCTCCCAGCGCTCCCAACCAGGCTCTTCCCCATCCCACGTTTGGGGCAACAGGTGCTGCTGGGTCCCCAGCTCCAGTCCCAGACCTCCAAACCTCCCAGTGCCTTGCAGGGACCACACTCTGAAGGGATCCTCCCTGCATAGTTTGGGTTGACCAGAGTGAGGAAAGAGGCTACCCCCCACCTCCTGGGGCAAGGGGGGGAAGGCAGCGATACAAGCCACCATGTCCCTCCCCAGGCTGATTCTGGGGGACAGCCATCACTGTGTGGGCATCTCAGGACATCACAAAAACCTTTGTTCCTCTCCCAATAAAAAACTATCAGCTCCAGGAGGTTCCCCATCCCCCCCACCCTAAGCAGGCCAGTTAACCCCGGAGGGGCTAAGCCAAGGCTCTACACACCACCTAACCCCAGCAGGGAGTGAGGAGGGGCTCCCAGCCCTAGACAGCCTCATCAGAACAAGGCAGGGAGTGAGGCTGGTGGCAGCCTGGATGTAGGAGGCTGGGCTGGGAGTTCTCAGCAGCTCAGTTAAGTTTGATAAGGATGACCCACAGCTCATTAGTGTCAACGCATTTTTTTCTCAGCCTCCTGCTGGGAGCACTATGAAGAAAATGGAGATGTCAGTGCAGCAGAGGGAAGAGAGAGAAAGATGAGTTAGTGAAAAAAGACAGTTCCCCAAAGTCCTTGCTGAAAACACTGCTGCTGCTCAGCCAGTAACAAGGAAAGAGCTGGGCCAACCGGTCCTGGGGCAGGGTTGGAGCTACAGGTCCATCAGTTTGGGGACAGAATTGTTGGGCAGGGTAGAATGCTAAGGAAGGAGGAGGATCAAGGACCCATTTAGGGCCAGAGATCACTGCTGAAGGGTAGAGTCAGCACCTTTGGCATGGGAGGGTGATGCAGGAGAGATGCCAGACTGCTGCTTGTGGGCAATGTCTGGGAGTGGGAACAGGGAGTGGACAGGACTAAGTCTAACCCTGCTATTTCAGGACAAAAGAGTCATGGAGAAAGTGGCATGATATGAGGAAAGCTGTGTCCAAGAGCCAGGGGGTGGTGGGGGTCATCCCCTGGGCTGAAGCACAAAGGGCCCCATCCCACTCAGCCTAGCAGTACAGGAACTGCTCAGGGCTCAGCTGTGGCCGTCCCAGGGGTCCTGTGGCTACGAGCTGCCTGCAACCACCTCCTACCACCCGGCTGCCAGCACCTGCGTGAGAAAGGCAGAAGATGAGGGACAGAGCAGCATGAAGAAAACAAAGGAGAAATGGAGGAGAGAAAATTATTTGAGACCAATTCAGTAACCCAGAGGGACAGAACAGAAAAGAAAAAGTAATGAAATGCAAATTGGTGTGATGTGCAAAGGATAGAAAGGAAGCGGGGCAAAGGAAGAGCAGGGGTCTGGGGGCTGCTTGACTGGGGACAGGCTGCCCGCACAGTCAGACTCCTCCCTCCATCCCCAAGCCCTCCTCTCTGTTTTGGCAGTGGAGGTGCCACAACCCCCTGCCCTGGGCTCATCAAGCAGAGCCAGGGGGCTTTGCTGGGGGGATGTAGGGGGCATATGTCCCCTCAGTGCCAGAACTGTGGGGTCCTCGGTGTTTGTGCTGCCAGGGAGCCAAGGAGGAAGCTACTGAAACAAAGGGCTCCTGGGCACAGCTCTGTTCCCTGCCAGGCAATGCTGGGGCACAAACCTGCAACTGCGTGGGCACTGTCTACCCAGCACGTGGGGGTTCTGGGGGCTGCTCCCCTTCCCTGCCAAACACCCCTAAGCACCTACACCTCATCTCCCCACAAAGAGGGGTATTGCAGGAACACCCTGGGCTGGCTCCTGTCCCAAAGAAGCCAATGAACAGGCTCAGGCTAGGAAGGACAGAGTAGTCAGGAA